AGGGGAGGGGGAGGGAAGGGAGGATGGGGAGGGAAGGGGGGAGTGAATAGCTGAACACCGAGGAAACCTGGTGGAGCTCTTTGAAAGAACCACAAAAGCTCATGGGAGTAGCAGAGCAATCACAGGTCATGGGGACTACTGGGATTAGATCCCTAAACTACAGTACTTGATACTTGATAACCAAATAATCTTTTGCGGTTTTATACCAAATTCAAGTTCTGGATATTTATATATACYGCTAAAAATAGTGGAAATATGGCGATATCACATTATTATGTTTTCTAGGAAGACTTGGATCCCTCGACATAATTGATATTATTTTTCAAATAGTCTAGTGCTTTAAATTACCATGTCTCCAGGCCTGTCAGCAAAACCACCAGTTTCATTGTCTTGACAAGCCAAAATATATGTTATCAGCTTTTCCTGAAATAATAAAAAATAAAAATAAAAATTAGAACTTTGTGAAATACGCTTGATTGAGAACRACACTGACACCACATCGTACAAATGTACAATAGATTTCATTACACTCATGAAATCGATATGCATATCAGAGTCAAAGCAATAAGATATAGATATAGTCTAGACACTACAGTATATACATATAGAACATTAATCTGTATTGATCTGAAAATTAAGGTCAGATTGGCTTTATTGGGCAACATCTACTTGCACAGGTTATGGTATCCTAGCCCCCTTAAAATGAGCAGTTGCATCAAAATGAACACCAGACACCAGTATTACTAGTAAGATAGTATTATTCATAGATATTATTAGTAGATATTAGTAAGGAATGAGGGTTTCAGTTCACAATCATAATATATAGGGAAAATGGCATTTAATATAAATGAAATTGCACAATTCACCAGAACTTGTATGACAAAGTGCATTGTGTTGGGTGGCAAGCAAGCTAGAGATTATTTTCTAACGCATTTCCCATACAAATAATAATAATAAAATGTTAGGTATGCATTTAATGTTACTAGTTACTAAATATTGAGATGTCACAGATAAAAGTCTAGTTAATGAATAATTCATTACCTTGTCAATCCAGTGTACTTTACCAATTATTTTTAAAGATGCTAGAACCCACCATGAATAACAGACATCAGGAAGCTTCTCAGGACGACCTGTGCAAATCAGATTACACATTCAACAAATTACAAAGCTAGAAAAAACTGATTTCAAACTGTGAACAAAGAATGAATTGTAGATTTTGACATTTATCCTCAATCAGGTTCTGCCTCAGCCTGACCAATACCAATGATGAACACCTGTAATGAAGGTTAGACAACCTCGGCTCAAGAAAACCCTTCAAATATCATTTATACGGGAAAGATCAAATTAACAAATRGACATCTCAGCCCCGGGGGGTGGGTAATCCCCTATATTCGCTATACGGGTACATGCCGCCAAACAGGGTATGGTTTTCAGCGATTCTACTCTGGAACAGGGTATATAAAATCGCGTTCCCTCTGGAACAGGGTATATGAAATCACACTCTCTCCTCTCTGGAACAGGGTATCTATTTTTGCAATACCTGAACAGAGTGTGGTTTTCAGCAATCTTGCTCTGGAACAGGGTATGAATTTCAGCGATTTTACTCTAGAACAGGGTCAGGGTTCAGATCAGGGCTCAGCGGCACATCTCTACCCTAAACTGGCAAGAGTACCCCCCCGGGAGGAAAGGACACGTGGTCTGAAATGGGAAAACAGTATGCGCAAGCCAAAAAGGTCAATTGGCAGCATGAAAAGGAGGAAAGCAATCCCAGAAGCCTTTGATGTTCCAGGTATTGGTTCCCAGGTACTAATAACAGGGTTCCCAGCCATTTTGAAAATAAAAATTCCCTGATTTTTCACTGACGTTTCCCTGACTAAATAACAGTTTTCATTGACCTTGTTGAGCCGCATGGGCAAGCATGGGCCACATGCCTAACTTTTACCTAGGCCCCACATATTAGACAGGATATCCAACRTAATTAAACTGTCCAGCATAAATGATACTAAATACTTCAATATTTTTTTTCATTATTTGAAAATATTTATTAGTCTATTCGACAATTGCAAACAGTATGAGTATCACACAGATACTCATAGTTAACTTTAAACAAAATTCCCTGACTTTTCCCTGACCCCCGGGAACCCTGAATAAGCCAGATGTAATTAAGTTGTACGCACCATTCAGGCCTCCTGAGGGAAGCTGTCTTTCACAAAGCCACCAGCCTAACATATCAACATTAACATGGTGAAGGGCATTTGTTATGGACAAAGCTCCAAGACAACAATAAATCTGCAAACAAATTGGACCAATGATGGCTTTAATTAAGGAAAATATGCATTAATATACAATATAGAATGCCAGTTGGTGTATTAAAAGCAGAATCCACAAATTATTATTAATTAAAAGTGAATAAATGATTGGATGGATATGTACATGGGTGGGCAGGCTGTATGAATGAATTGAAAAAATAATGAAATAATGAATGAATAAACGAATGAAGGAATGAATGGATGAATGATGGATTGAATAAATGAGTACAAAATGAATGGACAAATCAAATATTTTTAATTCAATCAAACCATTGGCAGCTTATAGTAAAGGGCAAACAAATCAGGCAAGCAAACACATTAATGGATAACTGATAATAGAGTGCTAGCTAACTTATTACTAACTTTGTGCTATTGGTTGCCTAAGTCTAATTAGTTAAAGAAATAGGCGAGCCGTGACAGGTAAACTAGTGCACGTGTGCTACTCAAGGGCGTGCATTTTAAAATATYCTTAAACACACTTACAAAAAATGAAACGATATTTTATTGTACATGCTTTTCCGTTGTTTCATTTTACATGTTCGCATTTTCGTATCTATTCAGTTGCATATTGAGATGTYACTCTAGTAAACGCCCGTGCCCTTGTCATGCCTCACTGAATTCCTATGTSTTGTCTAATTAAGCRCTAACTATCTCCTATTTCATCCTAACTATTTCATGGGTATATTATTTGCACCCTAGCAAGATAAGATAAGATTAGATAAGATTATTTAATCCATAAAATAATAACTATAAAAAAATGGCAAGGATAAAAAGCATATTTATATGCCAGTCACTTCCTGGTCCACCACCAATATTTCCAAAAAGTGTACAATCATGTTCTCCTGATTTGGAAATGTCAATAATACAGCTTTTTGATACATAAACTAAAATGGTTTATTTCTATTGTGTTGTTTATCATCATGGTAACAAACCTGGCCTGCATGGGATTCAGATCCTGGACGACAACCAAATCCACCATCAAAATTCATACAAGATACGACATATTCTACTGCTTTATCAACATCAATGGCATCTAGGTGATCCTGAAAAATGAATATATAAAGTTAATAACTTTCTAGCTATAGCTATCTACTTTCATTGAATATGATTTAGGAGTGTAAAAATGCATCAAGGAAGTCAGCTTTGCACTAAAAATATAAAACAAGGTACCAAATTAATAAGACAGCTCTTCATGGATGCATTGCCCAAATTATATTTTTTATGCTGTCAAGCTAGACTTCTCCGATCTGCAGTACTCATCCCTTGCTTTGTCTGTTTTTACTTATTTCAATGGGTTACCTGTGGTATTTAGAGACTCCACATTGTTCCCCCTCCTCCCTCCTTTATCATACATGGATCTCAAGCAGCAAAGAAAGAAAATACAGACAAACTTTTGCTTGCTCGTTGAAATTAGATGGTTTCTTTGAAATGTAGAATGTGTATAGACAAACATGGTATATATGAAAGCATGTCTGCACATTTGGTCAACATTTCCAATGCATTCAAGGAGAATTTAACACATCTTGTTTATAACGAGGACAGTAGAAAGTTACAGATAGGCTGTACTTACTAAAATCTGTAAACTAGCTATTGCACAAAATGAAAATCTTGTATCGACCTCACCTAAGAATAAAAAAAGTTCAATGTCACTTCAGTACAGTTGTATAATTTTCCCAGGACTGTTAGAACGGTTCTGCATCTGACTGATACATGTTATACATGTTATAGTCRATTTTGATAAATAATTTTGATCAACAACACTAAAGCGCATTTAGGAATTTTCTTTTTCTTTTYCCCCCCAGATATTAATGTACTAAGATTGAAGAAACACTTTTTCTGACTGGAATTTGTGGTATTTCTTTTATATTTTTATGTCAGCCTCAAGGGCGGATCCAGGAGGGGCAAAGGGGGGCTGAAGCCCCCTCTTCAGCAGAACAAAATGATGCTTTTTTGTATTGTTTTCCATTAAGTAATGAACAGTACTTTACCCCACTTATCTGCATAGAATGATCCATCTGGTTGCTGTAATTTCTTTACATATTCTACAATTTTCTTAACATCAACAGTATCTAAAGCATCATAAAGGACTAAAATCTGCGGAAAATAAGAATATATCCCGATTATTGAACTTCCTTATTTTCAATAGGATAGGAATATTTAAGATTATACCACTACWGGATATTTTTCAACTATAGAGGTTTTGCACCATCATGTGCCCACACCCACAATACAGCTTGGGCTGCCTGTGGTTAGATTGCAGAACAATATCCTTTTGYTCTTGGGAATTAAATCTTTCTTATATAGAACAATTACCATGTTCCTGCCATCCAACATGGCTACAGTGATGTGATGGTGTAAAGAAAGCCCGGGGGGTACTACCACCCCAACTTGGGTAGGGGTGTGCCACCAGGACCTCAAAACCCTGACCCTATCCCAGACCTAAAATTTTGATTTTACATACCCTACCCCAGACCCAAATGCCGAAAAACCATACCCTATARGGCGGCACATACCCGTATAGCAAATGTAGGGGAGTACCCCCACCCCCCCGGGAAAGAAAGCCGAAACAAAATGAGATGTACCTGAAGAGCACTTAGTGTATAAAGCAGGTGTGGGTCATGGTTAACACTTGCACTAAATCCTCCATTTTCATGGTGACAAGACTTGACAAATTCTAAGACTTCATCTCGGTTCAATTGGTCTAATCTATCCATCAAAGCCATGGCTGTCAAACCCCAGTAAATTCCACTCATTCTCAGGTACTCTGTCATACAGTAGTCCTGAAGCCAAGAAAATCAAAAATGTAAAATATAAAGGGAAATGCCATGTTAAGAAAACTCTGAAAAACCTTGCTATGTCACACTTCAATTTTCAAATTTCAAAATTTTATTTATTTTTTGTTCTGTCCCTTATTTGAAGTACAAATAAATATTATTTATTAAAATTGATAAAAATCGATATTTCATACTTATTTGTAGTAGACATGGAAAGTTCCAATTTGACCAATAACATTTGATTACAATGGGGAATTTGAAAATAACCCAGCATATAGTGTGTCATGTAGTTCTATTATGTAGTGCCTCTCTAAATACCAACCTCATTGCTGAATTAGACCCTGTCCACACAAATCCATTTTTGCATGAAAACGCAACTTTTTCTTTGTGGATTGGCCTTCCATCCACATATATCCAGCAAATAYGTTCGCCAAAAATGGAACTTTTTAAAAACACTCTCCAGCTAGAGTGGAAAATTTTTAGAAAACAGTTTATCCGTATTCATGTAGACGGGGGAAAACAGAACTGGAACTAGTCTCAGGCCACGCCATATTTATGATGATTGCATGCTCTATAAAGGCTAATGTGCTCTCGAGTCRTATTTTGCGGATACGTGTGGAYGGGTAAAAATGATCTGAAGATGGTACATGTGGACAGGAAAATATTTAAAAATGGATTATGAAGTTTGTGTTTTCATGCAAAAATGGATACGTGTAGGCAAAGTCTTAATTACTCTCTATAAATAAAGTTTTTGAATCTATCTCCAGTATCTAACTCAGTGCATACTGTATAACTGGTAAATCATGGGTCAAAATGGGTCAAAATATGAGAAATTAAAAACAACAACAACAACAAMAAAAATAATAATAACAATAATAATAATATTTGTCATATATATATATGTACTGTTTAATAAACGAGCAGGAGTGTTTTATCAGGTATAAAACACGAGGCGTAGCTGAGTGGTTTTAGACCCGATAAGACACGATCTGCGAGTTTATTAAACAGCTTAAAAAACTCCTGATGTATGTTCTCATACTGTACCGAATTCTTTACGAAATGAACCAAGTTTGATAGAGAAAATCCAAGTTAAAGTTTATGCAAATGAAGACGAATCTATATCAGATATAAAACCTCCTTCATGGTCATGATTTCTATTGTGTTTCCTTCATGAATTATTAATGAGTTTTTTAAATATATATATTGATAAAATATTTGTGAACATTCTTCCCTCACATAATCAGTGTCTTTCTTTTTTCCATAACTAAATATGAAGTCTGCATGTTTATCTAAAAGAAGAGTTTTGGGGGCATCTGCAGCTATTGTAACATCTTTTATTTGTGTGCCCTGCAAAAATAATTCAACAGCATTCATTATAATGATTCCTTAAATTTTAATTTTTTTCTAAGTTCTAAGGCTTTATAAGCTCATATCCCTTATTCTTGGTTTGCAATCAATCCCAAGAGAGCACAATAACAAAAGGGATGTCCGCCATGTTGGAAGATATGACAAAAGAATTCATTGAAAAATCTTTTGTCAAATTCTTCCAACATGGCGGCTATGACGTCTATTGCAAACGAAGAATAAGCTTATATCTTTTTATCTTGTTCCATTCCTAGTTTTAAAAAACCACCTCAACCGATAATACAATTAGATGACAATTCTATACATCACTAGCTTGCTATCCAGTAGAACATCTTCCTACTTCCCTTTTAACATCGATGAATTTTATCTCCAATAAAACATAAGAAAAGAGTGTGATAAAATGTAAGATCTGTCTCTTACCATATCAGAATAAGTTTCCACGAATCTTAAAAGGTAATGAATGACCTTCTAGCCAATATTTTAGACCAGACAATTACAATATCAAAAGATGTAGACTGCCTTGTCCGCCATATTTACTATGAGGAATACCGCTGGTTAGATTATCCGGGGCTCTCAATAAGGAGCGCTTTGGGTTGTGGGTAATATTCAAGATGGCGGCTGGAGCAGAGTGGTGTTTGATTGAGAGCGATCCAGGGGTATTTACTGAGCTCATTCGTGGATTTGGTAAGAAAATCATCAACAGGCATCTATGTTTTAATAACATACTATTCATACATATGGTTKCGTTTGAATTACTTCGGTATCTATCGATAAACGTAAAATAAAGAGACTGAGGACATTTGTACATGTACTCAAGACGTACTGTACACGTGCGATGCCTGCTTTTYCTCAATGTATATACGAATATAGGTCTCCTGATAAGTATCGTACTTGTGCCCAGCTAGAAGACTCTGAGACGTTTCCATACGCACCTATTTAAAGGGATTTGCTCRTTATTCCAGCTAGCAATTCGCTGTATTCAAACAAAAATTTTACGATTTTTTCTATTCTTCGTTTGCAATAGACGTCATAGCCGCCATGTTGGAAGAATTTGACAAAAGATTTTTAAATGAATTCTTTTGTTATATCTTCCAACATGGCGGACATCCCTTTCGTTATTGTGCTCTCTTGGGATTGATTGCAAACCAAGAATAGCTTCATCCTTGATGAATCACAGATTGACCACCGACCAACAATGTATTATAACTCGCGCTCTCATTGGTTGAATGAGAAYAATGCCTTCCCATGGTCGTAATCATCATAATCATGATCATCAATATTATTTAATATTAGTTATTGTAATTATGAAAAATTATATAAATCGATTAAATATTGCTTATATTATTTACAAATATTTCTTATTATTTCTTCCTGATTTCTTATGCTCATATGCCTGATATGTGTTGTTGATACATGTAGGATGTACAGGAACTCAAGTAGAAGAGATTTACAGTCTTGATCAAGCATCTTTAGAAAGTCTAAGGTAACTGGACATTCAATGCTTCCCTCCTTACCTTACTGAATTGTTTCATAATTTAACCCTCTTATTTTGTGTAATTGTAGACCTGTACATGGATTGATTTTCTTATTCAAATGGAAGCCTGGTGAAGAATCTGTAGGCACTGTTGTGCAAGATAGCAGAGCACATGGGATTTTCTTCGCAAAACAGGTTTGTATTAGCACAGGAAGCACATACTCTTGATCTGTTATCGTCATTTTCATCACCATCATGATCATGATCATCGTCATCATCACCATCATCAGCATCATTACCAACACCATCATCAGCATCATCATCATCATCACCATCATTATTTTCGTCATCACTACCATCATCATCATCATCATCATTACCATCATCTTCATTATGATCATGATACAGCATGTTTTGTATATGCAAAAATATTTATGGTACTTATTTCATATTTTTCTGCTCACTTCACCTTCAAGGATTTAAGATTAATTTTTTTTCTTTGCTTCAGGTAATCTCAAATGCATGTGCAACACAAGCCATTCTTAGTGTACTGTTAAATACAAATCATCCTGACTTGGACCTTGGACCAAACCTCACTACATTCAAAGAATTTTCAGCTACTTTTGACAGTGCAGTAAGTAACAAGTGTAATTCCATTATTTTTCACTTTCTGAGACTGTTTTGACTGTTGCAAAACTTTATAGAAATTTCCGAACATCGGACAATATCTGGCAAGAACTGGGACTTGTCTGGTCAAATCTCTACCTTGCTGGTCATTTTGACTAATAACGTTGAGGCAGAACAAGGTATAAAATAAGCTAAAAAATAATTTGCCTGTGACTATATTATTTCTTTTGTTTTTAGTTAAAAGGATTGAGTTTGACCAATTCAGATGTCATGAGAAGTGTACACAATGGCTTTTCAAGGTTAGTAATAATTAAGACACACTGCTACATAGGGAAAAGAAAAAAAAACAAAAAAAAANTATTTCTTTTGTTTTTAGTTAAAAGGATTGAGTTTGACCAATTCAGATGTCATGAGAAGTGTACACAATGGCTTTTCAAGGTTAGTAATAATTAACACACACTGCTACATAAGGAAAAGAAAAAAAAACAAAAAAAAACAAAACAAAAACAAAAAAAACAAAAAAAAACAAAAACAAACAAAGCAAAAAACCAGCCAAAACAAAACAAACAGAAACTAACAAACAAAAGAAACAAAAAGATTTAAACACTGTAGTTTTTTTTAGTTCTGTCAATCTAATTTCTGATATTTTGCTTTTTTTTATATTTCGACACTTTATTAATAAAAAGTTTGGTAATTAAGTGTTGAAATGCCCCCCCCCCCCCCACTACGCCACCACATCGAGGTGAAAAGGTCACCTTCTCTTCTGCAGTTCTATCAGCAATAAAAAGATGACAGGAAACTAAAGTCAGCCCTGTTATTAAAAAAGCTAATTAATTTTCTTTTTTTCTTTGTGTATGAAGGCAGCAGATGTTTGAGTTTGATTCAAAAGTTGCACAAAAGGATGATGATGTTTATCACTTTGTTGCATACGTCCCAATCAATGGCAGACTGTATGAGCTTGATGGACTAAAGGAAGGACCCATAGATCATGGTAATTTAAAATTATCTTCAATACTGACAAAGAATACAGTACATATTTAATGYATCATCAATGCAAAGAAAACTAATTAAGTTTTATAACCATCACTCACCAAGAAGTTAAGGGGATTAATATTAATTAATGATCAATCTTTATTCAGGAGTGCAGTTTTCATATGACTGTGAAAAGTTCACGGCATGAACACGGTCGTGACACAGCAAGGGATACGCCAGATCAATCACATTGCACGAGAATTTACTCCCCATCCAATCAAATACCCGGAACATGGCATAAACACGGCRCTGACACAGTCAGGCCAAGGTCACAGCAATGCAAGAACAATCATATTGTGTGTGAAAAAAATCAGCCAATTAAAATTCTAAAAAGCATCATGGTCACGGCATATGTCATGCTTAAAGCACTAAGCTTTTCACAGTCATACGAAAACTGCTTGAATACCTACAGTAAGTCACAAGCATGTTTTACATTAAGGTCCTGAGGGATCTTCTCAACATGCACTACCACTCATTTACTAAACTCATGATCACATGYTGATTTTTATGGAGGGAGAATATATGCAGAACCTGGATGAAAACCCTTGTGGTGTGAATGACACATCAAACCAACTCAACTAAAAAAATGAGATTTACATGTAGCCGAGAATGCAGTATAACCAAACCAGGCATTGAACTAGAGCGCATGCAATAAAACCATGAAATAAAAACTGTCAAAGTTCACACTCTGAAAAATAGTTTGCTGTAGCTTTTTAGTAACTATAGGTAATAGTTGCTTTCACTAAGCCAGAACTTTCATTACACAAATTTAAATACACAAGAGATCATTTTAGCCAGGTGGGGTGTGGTGTGCAAAATGTAGGTGAGATCTATACAGAGTCTTTTTTGTAATGAATGTTCTTGTTGATTGATAGCAGCTATTAGTTGATAAATAGGTCTTATTATTTTTAGTTTTCTTTTTTGTAATGAATGTTCTGGTTGAGTGATATAGCAACTATTTAGTCACTAAATAGCTATATCATTGTCAATATCAACATTGTTTTTATTTCTCATGGTTTTACTGTATGTGCTCTGTATGACATCAAATATTATTGTATCACATGAAACTAATTAACCATCTTAATGTATAGCAAGTCGGAGAACATCCAGACATTTCAAATCTAATTGCTAGGTAGGGATGTTGGCAAACTGCCATTGTCTCAGTTCTGCAGTTTGCTGACATCTGTAGTACTGACAATAATTACTAAGAAGTCCTTATTTATAATCTTGGATAATTATTTTTAGGTGCTTGTAACCATGACAATTGGCTGAGTGCCTGCAAACCCATCATTGAGGCCAGAATGCAAAAGTAAGGTACCATGCAGACRTTACCATACTCATTGCCTAATAGTAATGTGTTATTAGTATCTCATGTTAGTTATTTTTGTTACCAGTGAAAAACTAAAAAATGTCCATTTTCTCTTGAAGTTTGTAAAACGTTTGTAAATGCTTTTCAATCACATGCACAGATATTGTACAATTTGCTGTTGTTATAACAAATGAGGTTTTGGTTAGGTGGACCTTAATCAAAGTGTTTCCATGGCATTGTTGAAAAATGCAAAGCTTTGAAGCCATGTACATGCCTAACGAAACCTGCTTTGTAATGAGTGAGCAAATTGTACAACAGCATGATTTTTGAGCATGTTATTGAAAAGTGCTGTATTTTGAGAGCAGCATGATTTTGAGCATGTTATTGGAAAACGCTGTTAAAAAGCAAGACCCCTACCCCTACAGTTACAGCAGATACTTGTAATGAATGCTTGGACCCAATAATTCTCTTAATCAATGTTTGTTTCATTGATAAGCAGATATTCATCAGAAGAGATAAGGTTTAACTTAATGGCCATAATATCAGACAGGAAGATGACATTCCTTAAGCAAATGGATACTCTGAACATGAAAAAACAGCACTTGTTGGAAAAAGTAGGTTGGAACTCATGTGCAGCCAGATTTGCGTTCAATGACGATACATGTATTAATTAATAGATAATTACTGAGGTGAATTATCTAGTATTATATCGAAGTGATTATCTAGTATGATCATTGCTCTTATCAAAATCCAATTGTTTTCTTTCTAGCTTGTTTATCATAGAAACAAAGCCAATAATGAATGAACTAATATAAATATGTCTGATTTTCCTCTATGCATTCGTTGGGATAATGCGGACTGAAAACAATGGATTTTGATAAGATCAGTAATTATACTGCAACTACAGTTTAGCTGTTTTCAAGGGGTTATTGTTYAAAGGAAGGGAAGATTAATTGCACTAAAATAATTGCTATATAATTATAGTAGATAGAACACTGTTAGTCAAGCCTTTAATGAATGCATGTAAACTGGGTGGCATGGGTGGCGTACGCTGCTAATGTGGCATCTTTCACCACTGTGAGTCCAAAGGGTCGGGTTGCTGGTTCAAGCCCTGTGGTTGCCACATGAATTGAGTTTGTTTGATGTATTGTTCTCTCCTGTGCCGCAAGGGTTTTTCTCCAGGTTCTCAGGTTTTCCTCCCTCTTTAATTAAAAATTCAACATGTGAGTCGAGCGTTGTGTGCATATCATAGTAATGGTAGTGAGTGTGAGTGAAAGCAGGTCCTTATATCGGTGAAAGCTGCCAGAATAATCAGCCTGCTCTAAGAAATAAAATATTATTATCATGATCATGATCATCACAATCATCATCATCATCATCATTATTAGTATTATTGGAAACGTCTGGTCAGAATTGGATTTTTTCTGGTCATATCTTTGTCTTGCTCATCATTTTTGCAAGTAAAGTTGAGCCAGACACAGGTACTGTAGCGTTATGAATGAGCTAAAAATAATTTAGCCCATCATCCATGCTGACATGAACTGGCTGGCCATTTATTAAACCTCACAGAGTATTAATGTAAATTTCAGTTTTCTTTATCTGGTGGAAAAATTGAAATTTCTTTTTCAATTTCTKTTTCAAATATATTTCTTGTACATTACTTAATTGTTATTTATTTTTTGCTCTTTAAAGATTGAAGAATTGAAGTCATCATCTTCCAATCCAGAGGTTGGTTTCTCAGACAGTTGGGCCTATCTTACTGTATCTGCTTCTTATAATATCTAGGAGATGATAAAGAAATATAGTATTGGTTTCAAAGTCTGGACTTGTTCAGCAGATGTGCTGTCTTTTTTTTAATGTGGTCAATATACAGCTGTAATTAATAGTAATATAATAGTGATATTATTATTTTATATTATTAGTAATAGGTTTTACCTCATATACCTGTATTAGGTCACAGCAAGGGCGCTAGGGCAAAAATTGGTGGATTTTTAGCCATTAGACTCTRTTATATTCGTGTTTTTTTTAGCCGTTAGGAACTGTTTAAACTGTTACTTATATCTGTTCTGTTATGTGCTGGCTTGATTTTTTCAGTTTTCCTGTCTACGTACCCCAAATATACTGCTGTGACCAACAGTTTATCCTATACCTGCCTCGTGACCGCTTACGTAAGCGTATGCGTCGGTTAATAAGTTAATAAGTTAATCCAAATCCCCTAAATAACCAAGAATTTGCTGCATTATATTATTTTGTATTTTCATTCAGCTTCATATCTATTAATTTTATTAATCARAATTATTTTTGCTATTTCTTTTGAGATTAAGACTGTGTTACAGTTTTACAAAATATCATTCTATGCATTTTGGTAGCAAACACCTTAGAGTATAGTATTTATTATTATTATGATGATGAATGGTGGAAAATAATTACCCGGACTTATTAGATGTATTGTCTCTGTTAATTGTAGGGAGGTGAAGCGATGGAAACAGATCAAAGTGCATCAGTAAAAGAATGTGAAGACATAATCCATACAATAAATGCAGAGATCACAAGGTTACGAAGTCTTGTCGCTGCTGAGGATGATAAGATGCTGAGATACAAGGTTTTTATCATTTGTATTATATATATTTTAACTGAAACCATATTAATGATGATGATTTGTGATTTACTGTATACACTCAAAGAATCGTTGTCGGGTTCAGAAACATAGAATATAGAAGGTGAGACCGAAATGGCACTTGGGAAGTACGTTAATTAGATGCATGCTGTGACCGGYGACCCATGGCATCATCCACTGTCTTTAATACGCATAAGGCATTCTAAACTGACTGCATGGATGGCGCAAATGAATAAATTATAATATAATTATGGCATTTCCCATGTGCCATTTCGGTCTCAGCTTCTATGTTCTATTTCTGAACCCGACAACAATTCTTCAATTGAGTGTATAGCACACTTTCTTTATGGATAATCAAAGGYGCTTTACATTGAGTTACAGGTGGCTGTTTCTAGTCTCCCCCACAGCCGCTTTCAGTGTCGTCACGCAGTGCTTTCTCCCCTGACTAGCTAGTCAGGGGAGAAAACGTTGCGTGACGACACTGAAAGCGGCTGTGGGGGAGACTAGGCTGTTTCAGGGTAGCAATAAAATTTAAAGGTTATTTAAAATGTTCCCTGAGTATTCCAATTGCCTTCTCTGGTGGGGGTATTGATCTTTTCCCAAACCAACACAAAATCAGTATACCATGATAAAAAATATTTTATTTACAGTGATTTGTATTTTGTTATTCGTTTTCAATTTCAAAGGTAGAAAATATTAGAAGAAAGCACAACTATCTGCCACTCATAATGGAACTTCTCAAGATTCTTGCTAATAATGGAAAGCTTGTTTCAATGGTAGAAAAGGTATGAATAAAATATAAAATAATATGGAACGTCATTGAGGATTACATGGTAGGATGTGAATTATTGTTTGTGAAAATATATATGACCCTTTCCCAAGTGGAATTATTTTTTACGTGGCCCCCTGCGGAAAAAAAGGAAAAAAATGTCTTTTTGTTAATCATATTTTTTGCTAATTATTTTTGTGATGCCATATTTTTTAATGTGGGCCCCCTAAATCCCACCAGCCCCCCATAATGGTAAAAAAATGAGCCATCCCTTCTAGTATATTAGTGTAAATTTTCTGTAATTGCTGTGTAAGTTATTCTGTYTGACACTTGAAAAACATGCAAATCACTAAGTTACTGGTTGTTGTTCTGAAAAGTAACTGTACTGCACTGATATTTGCAATACCCTGTTACTAATTGACCTGTTTCACATGGTGGCCAATTAACAGGATAAACAATAATTTTCTCCTCGCAAAGCTATATCTAGGTCATTTGATATTTTTCTCTTATTCTCTCTATTTCATTACACACGCTGAATGCATAATTTATTACTACTATACTATATGGGAATAAGCAAGCTGTCCAAACCCTGGTTTGTAGAAGTTTTTTAGCCTGTGAAGAAGCATTGAATTAACAGAGCCACTGGAAACCCCGGGGGGGGGGGGGGGGCTCCCCTTTATTTGCTATACGGGTATGTGCCGCCCTATAGGGTATGGTATTTCGGCTTTTGGGTCTGGGGTAGGGTATCATTTTTTGACATTTTGTCTACGATATGGTATCATTTTAGNCTGTTTCAGGGTAGCAATAAAATTTAAAGGTTATTTAAAATGTTCCCTGAGTATTCCAATTGCCTTCTCTGGTGGGGGTATTGATCTTTTCCCAAACCAACACAAAATCAGTATACCATGATAAAAAATATTTTATTTACAGTGATTTGTATTTTGTTATTCGTTTTCAATTTCAAAGGTAGAAAATATTAGAAGAAAGCACAACTATCTGCCACTCATAATGGAACTTCTCAAGATTCTTGCTAATAATGGAAAGCTTGTTTCAATGGTAGAAAAGGTATGAATAAAATATAAAATAATATGGAACGTCATTGAGGATTACATGGTAGGATGTGAATTATTGTTTGTGAAAATATATATGACCCTTTCCCAAGTGGAATTATTTTTTACGTGGCCCCCTGCGGAAAAAAAGGAAAAAAATGTCTTTTTGTTAATCATATTTTTTGCTAATTATTTTTGTGATGCCATATTTTTTAATGTGGGCCCCCTAAATCCCACCAGCCCCCCATAATGGTAAAAAAATGAGCCATCCCTTCTAGTATATTAGTGTAAATTTTCTGTAATTGCTGTGTAAGTTATTCTGTTTGACACTTGAAAAACATGCAAATCACTAAGTTACTGGTTGTTGTTCTGAAAAGTAACTGTACTGCACTGATATTTGCAATACCCTGTTACTAATTGACCTGTTTCACATGGTGGCCAATTAACAGGATAAACAATAATTTTCTCCTCGCAAAGCTATATCTAGGTCATTTGATATTTTTCTCTTATTCTCTCTATTTCATTACACACGCTGAATGCATAATTTATTACTACTATACTATATGGGAATAAGCAAGCTGTCCAAACCCTGGTTTGTAGAAGTTTTTTAGCCTGTGAAGAAGCATTGAATTAACAGAGCCACTGGAAACCCCGGGGGGGGGGGGGGGGCTCCCCTTTATTTGCTATACGGGTATGTGCCGCCCTATAGGGTATGGTATTTCGGCTTTTGGGTCTGGGGTAGGGTATCATTTTTTGACATTTTGTCTACGATATGGTATCATTTTAGGTTTGGGATAGGGTCAGGGTTTTGAGGTCCTGGTGGCACACCCCTACCCAAGTTGGGGTGGTAGTACCCCCCCCCCCCCACCCGAACTGGAAACCAGGGTAGATTTGGGCTAAGGCACCTAGATCATGCTATCTGCTAATATAGTATAAGTATTGTATATGGATACGGATATTTAATTCTAAAAATATTTAAACGAAATATTTCTTTTGAAATTCTAGGAAAAAGAACTTCAAAAAGAGAAGAAGGCTCAAAATGCAAAATGATTTGATCACCAGGAAAAGAAAAAAATCTATTTAAAAGAATGGCATACACACGCGCATTAGAAAATGGAGCGGCATGCTGTTGTTCAGCCATTAGGAGAGCTACATTTAGTGGCACATTAATTGAAAAGAACATTCAAGTTATAACTTTTTCATTCCCATGACAAATTAAATTTTATATTGGTGCAAAGACTAACCCTCCTYGAGATTTGCTTCAATGTCTTGCACTAATGTTTCAGTACGAGGCGATATACTATATTAAATGTATTTTTTCTCCTGTCTTGAATCACTGAGCATTATGCATGAAGCCTCTTATTAAATATTTGTGTGACAAGCGAAGCATATCTCAGAAGTCATCATTATCCTGTATGCACATACTGTAGGGCTGAATATCTCAGAAGTGGCCATGGGCTTTATTGTATCAGTACATTGGTACTGTTTCAAGAAACATAAAATCTGAAAATCAGTTGCACATGTATTACCATAGATGAACTGGAACTGCAATAATTATTGGAGAATACTGTAGGGACTTTGACTAGTTCTTTTTTTTAGAGTGAGGGGAAATTTGTAGAAATGACAAAACACACCCTCTTCCCATCAAATGCCCATGTGTGCAGTACTCTGGAAGCTGGGTCGAGCCAGCTTAATGGAGGGCACCATAAACTGACATAGCCTGCCTAGTGGCCCTTTCGTTGGCTGGCCAACCAAGTGGGAGTGGGGAAGAGCCTTCTCTCCCAGGCCACCCCTCTCAAAGGGCAACTATTCAGGTTAATGCTGTCACTGCAACACTAGAGGTAAAGTAGAGAGCACCTGAGAGATTGTTGTCTTGGTAACATAATAGGAAGCCACCAGGAACTACAGGAAGCCCATACAAGTTTGAGAACTGATTGTAATTTAACAAAGGAAAAATAACAGCTAATATTTACTCACATGAAGYGTTGTTTACAGTACATCGTCCTTGTGTTTTATTAGTTTTGGATTTAGCCATCTTAGCRGGATTTGAAAACCTAAAATGGCTCGAAATCACTAAAGAACAAGGACGACGTAAACAACACTTCATGTGAGTAATTATTAGCTTTTATTTTTTCCTTTGTTAAATTACAATCAGTTCTCAAACTTGTATGGGCTTCCTGTGGTTTGAACCTGATACCAGGAGTTTGTCTAGAGCACTCTTTCTGGGTAGGCTGTGTACAGTGTATACACACTGGAATACAGGTCTTACTAACTGATAACTTCTATGACACCTGGTCGAAATTCCACAAAAAGTTTTCCATTTTCTTCAAGATAAGTTTTTAATTCGGGCAGCAATCGGACTTCATTAGGATAGCTGTTCTTACCCCATCCAGTAATAATCCTCAATCTCCCTTTCTGGTCTCTGTTATAATACAAAAACCTCTCRACAGCTTCAATGGCTTCTTTAACGTGTAATCCATGAACATTCAACGTCCTATAACACGACGGCACATGGTTCCAGTATTCGGAGTTCACCATATCAAGGATCTTAGCTGATGATTGCATTTCGGAGTGTTTGATTGCCGTGTTCATCATTCGTCCTTTTTGTGATAATATATGAGCCAAGCTACGCTGACCACGTGAATAGGCTTGAGAAGCACGGGAAAAATAATCATTTCTTAATCTTCTGAGTCGCTGGGAGTTTTCCCTGAGTCTGTCATAACTGGAATCTACATCAACACGTGCACTGCTGTACACCTCATAATCTCCATGAAAACTCCCACTAAAACTCTTGTTTCTGTTTCGTTTTGAACTTTTAAAACGCATCCCAAACAAAACCAATGACATTAGACGCTTATTGCTGAAAATATRTACGTTTTTAGTGGGGAAAATTAAATATTTTGGACCTCTTATGCAGAGCACTGCTGGATGGGCGGCCATCTTGAAAAWAATTTCTCACACAGGGAGCCCAACGCTTGGAATCGCTAATCTGTGAATAAGATCACATAATTAGTTAAATGTGATCGATTCAGCTGCACTCAGAAGTGACAGTCTGTTTTGCCCAAAAATGGCCCTGATTTCTGCGTCGCTACCCCCAAATGCAAGGTTAGTACGAAGTAATGTTGTTGGACGTGAATAAATAGGGTTCTTAATTGATCAAATATATAGCTGCAGTACTGAAAGCTGTGAGATCGAAGTGAGATCGGTACAGTACATCTAGAGTGTTTGAAAGAGAATGGATTCACTGACAGAGAAGCTCAAGTGCCAAGCGGATTCTATTGTCCATCTTTCATTAGACACACCTGATCCTTTGCTTCTGTCCAGTTGTAAAGATGCTGTTGAACTTGCATCCATGCACTGTATGGTTAGTTATATTGTCAATACCATATTTGAATGATTACATAGCACTATATAAGCTTATATGAGCACTGGTATGTCAAACACTTTTTCAAACACAAACACGGAATGTGTGAAGGTGTTGGCTTGGATCTGTTTTGTGTATCAAATGTTTGAGTTATATTTTGTTGCTTTACTTTCATTATACCAGATACAAAAGTAAATTATTATATCACAAAATATTTAAAAAATGAAAAATTATTTCACATACTAGAAAATAATGATAAGCTTAATTAAATATGAAATATCAAACCGTCCATCCATCCATCCGTCCATCC